ATACAGTTAAAGGAATACAAATTTCGATATAGACTAACATAATCAAAGAACCAAACCAAATCGTATTGAAACTGGATATTTTCGATTCGGTTCAATTTCTTATAACCCAGTATTTTGTTTGGTTTCTTGGTTCAGTTCCGTCTGGTTCAAAATTGGAACTGAATTATTTTTAAATTTATAAATGTGAAACAAGATCAGTACTTTTTTCAATTAAAATAAACCCAAATATTCATAATTCTCCTGAGATTAGTTGACTCACATAACGGATTAGATATACAGGTTAATAAAAAAATTAATTTGATTTTTATTTTTTATTTAATTAAATTAAAAATCAAATACCAATAATTACTAGGAAATGGGAAGAGAAAAAGTTAGCTTAGGTGCCTATTAAGGCTTTATAAATGCAAATAGGGAGCATATTCTTCATTCTTTCTTCCTTCTTCTTTTGTACTTCCATCACTTATTTTAGTGATATTTTCAATTTAACCCCTCAACTTTCAACAATATCCAAAATGGCCCCTCTTTATTTTCTCAAACATTATGAACAAATATTGCTCCTATTTAATGTTGCCCAAACCCCCATCACAATTTTCAATATGATTTTATTGTGTGGACCCATTTTCACCCGCTTTGTTTTCTTCACTTCTACCTTTTAATTTTCAATCTATTTTTATTTAAAAGTAAAAAATTTAAACCATAAAGATGGTGTCTGATTGGTTTGAGTATGGCTCCAAAGATCAAAAGTATCAGGAGGTTTCAGGTTCAAAATCAAGAAGAAATAAAAACCCCCTTGTGGCCACAGAGGTTTAAATGCGGTGACTTCGGACTATCTGCAAAGCAGGTGGTCGTTATGAGATTAGTCGACTCGCATAGCGGGTTGGATATCTAGGTTAATAAAAAAATGAAAATTTGGCAGTTAAATCGTCATTGGTTGTTACTTACGGAGCCAGCCTAGGCGTACCCCCATCCTTTAAAAAAGTTATTATGTTTAGTGACCAGATAACATGATATTGTTTTTGAAACTGTAAAAACTCAATTTATTACACACATTTTCTCTTTCTTTCACCCTCTAATAACAAATTCATTTAGTTCTGAGTCAACGGTTATTAAAAAAATATAACAATGTTGTCATTTTATTAAATAGAAAAGGGTAAAATAGTACATTTCATTAATGGATAATTATTTTCATTTATTAAAATCCCTTAAATAAAAGAAAGCTACCACAATTTACGGAAACTTCATTTATCCTCTAAAAAATGTACAAAAAAAATATTTTCAACAATCTACAAAAATGTACTAGAAAACTTTACAATATATATATATATATATATATATATATATATATATTCTTCCAACTGATTCATCATTTTCAAAATTATGTGTTGCATGCACATGCAAATAAATTACCATAATCGTTTTTCGATTTATGGATTGCAAGCACATGTGAGCGAATGACCATATTCATCATCTTTCAATCTTTGGGTTGCATGCATGTGAATGAATCACTTAACTCGTAACTTTTGCAATCTATACTCTGCATGCACACGTGAATGAATCATCACATTCAACGTCCTTCAATTTTTCTAGGTTGAATGTTCATGTAAATGAAACACCATATTCAATGTCTTTCAATTTTTTGGTCCATGAACATGTGAACTACGGTTTCATCATATTCATGTGTGCATAAAACCCAGGAAAACAAAAGTAAAATAAATGTATGGTTGAATGTTGTTATCTATTCACAAGTGCATAATCTTTAAAGGCCACCAAGGTTTTTGACGACCATTAACGAATAAACCATATAGCCATTTAAGACCAGGTAAGGTTGGAAAATTGAAGAGGAGAAGGGGAAGAAACGGTTGGAGAATTAAAAGATAAAAGCAAAAATCGAGTACCAAATGTTTGGTCGTAAAATGTAGAAAGAAAAAAAAAACGTAATCAATCATCTTCTCCCTCTTAATGATTTTGTATCTTGAGTCTCCCTTAACCATTCACACTCTGATTTAATTGTAAACAATTATATTTCATTTTGCATTATATCATGAGAGTCTCTTAATCATTATTTATCAAACCATTCAGTAACTACCAACATAGCCCTTTAAAATTTTAATTTTTTTTTTGATATAATGATTGTTAAATTGCTATTTAATTTTTTTTTATAGATTTTCTACTAAACTCCATTCTCTCTATGTAAACATAGATAGTAGTTTGAAAATTCATTCACACATGAATAATATATGCATACATATAAATGAAATAAAAAGCATTTATTGTGAAGAAAATAAATACTCAATAGTTATTAAAATAAATTTAATTGCATATAAACATGTACCAACATCATGGTTAAATTGAGGTCTTAATGTCAATATAACAAAACACCAAGTCCTTCTAAATAAATAAATATTAATTAATAAACCAAGAATATTATAACCATAAAATGCATTTAATAAATATAAATTAAGTAGGTGAATAATTGTGTGGTCTAGTTGTATTTTCTTTAAAAATCACACCTAAATATTATTGTTTCCTTCTTTATGATTCCTACTTTACACCCCAAAGTAAATAATCAAAACAAATAAATAATAATAATAATAATAAAACTAGACGAAACGAATAACTAAATAAAAGAATAAGAAAACAGTCGAATCACATGTGATTTTACACTAAAAGCACGTGTAAATTCACATGTGATTAGCCGCAACACGTTGCTTGTACACCTTTGTGTTAACTGTTAGTTTAAAATCACATGTGATTTTGTACATGATTTAGTTGTTTTCGTGTTTTCTTATTATGGTATTATTCTTGTTTAAACCTCCCTCCTCTTTCTTTCTATATGTATATCAGGCTTCAAGATATGCGTAAATACGTTAGTTATTTTCATGAATTAACAAACCTATTTCTATTACCACATGAAGAAACCGATCAAATGACATATCTTGGAGTAAAAAACGAGGCTGGATGACGATAAATCACTAAAAAACACATACGACATTAAAGGATCAATCAAAGAGTTTTTACTCTTTCATGGCCTCGAGCAAGCAATCCCGAGTTTGACTCGCTAGCAACTCACGAATATGGGTCCATCAAAAAGTTTAACTCTTTTGTAGCTGTGAATGGAGAATAAAATCTGGAATTTTCTAAACCGTTAGTATCCAGAAAACAATATGCTCTTCTGGTCTTTATTCCATCCACTTTCATTATTGCGCATTACTACACCCATCAAAGCAGTATGCAATTATTTAGACACGACCAACGTATGATCCTATGTGGAGATGTGATAACCGATATACTGATTTTATGGGCAGTTCGATTAATAAGAAAAGATCAAATATTCAACGACTCTTATCTATCTGCGACAAATACTGTATGTTCAATATAGGAATATAAGGGAACATCTCTTTATTAAAATTTTCCATGCGTACTTAACTTTGAGAAAATCGAATCCCTATTCTGTGATCTATAAATAAATATGCTTAATATCGACATTATTAGAAAATACGTTTAATTTTTTTATTACCAAAATACCCTCCAATTCACTTTTTTATGAAAGAGGTTAAAATACCTGCTAAATTTTATTTAGACAAAGAATAAAAGAATACACGTACACCCTTCCATTCACTTCTTACATAAATTGCTATTGATTTCTTACTGAATAACACCCTAAACATATACACATTAATCACCGGTTAACGAAACTAAATCAATGGTACTGAAATATTATGTTTTTATGAAATACCTTATTTGACATTCAAATATCAAATCTGTAACCACAAGGGTAGTGCCTGGTTGGTTTGAGCTTGGCTCCAAATGTTAAAAGTATCAGGAGGTACCAAGTTCAAATCAAAGGAGGAATAAAAATCCTCTTGTGGCCACGAAGGTCCAAATGCGGTGACTCCGGGCTATCTGCAAAGCAGGTGGTCGTCCTGGGATTAGTCGGTTCGCATAGCGGGTTGGATATCCAGGTTAATAAAATATATATATATATATATATATATCAAATCTGTATTTTTTCAAACCACAAGCATTGAATTGAGTTGTTCAAATGTCCTCAACCCAATCAATCCAACTTGTATGAATAACCCTACACTTAACGATAATATTAGAAAGTTGTTAAGCTTTTCTATTTTTGTTGGGTATTCATTCAATAATAAATCAAAGCAAATCACTGTTAAAGATCGTTTTTTTTTATTTAAATAATATTATGAGGCATCCCTTGGTTACCCAATGGAATGAAAGCAATGTTCTTTGACTTCTTGCAGGTTGAACGATTTTAATGTTAATGGCGTCTCCCTCTCTCTCCTTTCTCTCTCATCTCTGACACTTCACATGTTCATGCAGACAAATCGAGACCCACACCAAAACAATCATCCCTACTGCCCACATGGAAGTGTGAACAAAGACATTTGCTAATACGCTTCACCATTGTTTTTATTTATTACTCTCCGTACATCCCTCCATTGAAACCTTCTTTCAATACCATAACTAACCCACCACATAATTTACAATCTCTCTGGAACATCCATATGGAAATTTGTTCTTATCTGCTGTAAAACTTTTTTCATTTTTGCTTATGGGATTTGTCTACTTTTTTTTCTGACTCTGTCATTTGATAAACAAGGGAAGAAGCTATCTTGGTTTTTGTGCTTTTGTTCGCATTAGCAAATCTCTCCGTGTTCTTTGGTGGGCAATGGCGGAAACTTATTGGATCTGAAGTCTGATTAGGTGGGGTGTAGGGTTCTGTAAGGGACATTTAGGAACCTTTGTTTGATTTCTGATTTTCGAGATTTGTTTTTGAGATTGCAGGAATAAGAGTAATGAATCAGTTGTAAATCTATGAGATTTTGGGGGGTTTGAAATCGGATTAGGGTTCGAAATCCTTCCTCGTCTACCAACTGTTTGTGGTTTTGTCTGAGAGAAACAGATAAGAAAAAAGTTAAAAACTTTTGGGTTCCAGTGATTATGAGTCAAATCTTGTTCAAAAATTTGATGATCTTTTCATCATTGTGATTAATTGGCGCTTGAGGCTTCTTGGTATGTTGAAAGGGTGATAGCCACTGGGATTGCTAAACCACCCAGCTGAGGAATTAAAGTGAAGAAAAATGGCTGCAAAACTTTTACATTCACTAACAGATGACAACCCAGATCTGCAAAAGCAAATAGGATGCATGACAGGTGTTTTTCAGCTCTTCGACCGCCACAATATGGTTGCCGGAAGGCGGTTTTCCTGCCACAGCCCCAAGAGACTCCCACCTGGTAACCCTCAAAACTTATATTGCTGATTGATAGATAGATTGGTTCTATAATCAAACAATATGGTGGTGGTAGTCAACTTATTTAGCTAGAACTTATTCTTTTTCCATTATTTGAAAGATTGAAATCTAGAATTTGTTTAATACCATTCAACTATGCGATCTGGAATGATGTTTATAGAGGATGAACAAGTGATCCATTGATTAATTTCTAAATGTCTGTAGCATCAATTTGGAAACTTGTAACTGATATCACATATAATTGCTTTTGTATTTCTTTTTCTGTTTGTTTGAGTCCCACATTGGCTATTCTTGGACTATTTTCTCTGTATATGTTGGAATCCCCTTTTCTTCAAAAGGGCTTTTTTGGATAATACTTTAATTGGGTTCCACATACTTTGACATGGTATTAGAGACAAGTTCTACATGTTGCGGCAATCTGTATTCGTCTAGCCCCCTCATGAACTCGACATTTTGGCACTATATGTGCCCGTCTAGCCTCCATTGGAGGGGGGGGGTGTTAGACTCCCACATCGGCTTACACGAACCATTTCTCCTCCATATATGTTGGAACCCCCTTCTCTTTAGGGACTTGACACTTTGAGACAATCTGTATTCGTCTAACCCCCTCTTGTACTGCTTAGCCCCCTCTCGACACTCTGGCACTATATGCGACTGTCTAGCACCCACATCGGCTACACTTGAATCATTTTTCCTCCATATATATTGGAATCCCCTTCTCTTTTCACAGGGCTTTTTTGGAAGGTCATTTAATGGGGTTCCCCATATTCTCACACTGCTTATTTTATCGTGTTGGAATCTGCAAAGTGTTCTCTAAGCATTCACCCGATGTGGGTTGATGCATACACAGATTTTGTTGGTCACCCATTTGTTCATTAAAGATACAATTATCTTTAATGCGAATTCTTGAAAATCTTGTTTCATTATGATGTTGAGTCGACGGTAACAACATCCAAGCGCCTTCCATTTGCATTTATTTATTTTCATGAGCTCCATTGCTATTTATGCTTCTTGACATCAAACTTTACTCTACTTTTTGCAGGTAGTCCGCAATTTGACAATGGAACACCTGAAAGTGAGTCAAGTAGCTCATACCAACGACCATACATTGTGGTACGTGCATTTGGTTTCAAATTCCTTTCTATGGTAGCATGTCAACACTGTTTGTCATCACTAGACATTTGGAAACTCATAATTGCTTGATTGTAGTCACCACACCAAAATCGGCTTTATGATGTGTAAATGTCGTAATACACTGTTTTATAGGACCAAACAGTTGTGTGTCCTATATAAATGTGTTACAATAGGATGTTAGGACATATTTGGATATCCTAACAAATTTTTTACGACACATTTGAAATAAAATGTTGTATTAGTTTTTTATGTGACTTGAAATCTGACACTTATTTTGGAACAAACTAAAATAAAAATTTAGACACTTATCTTGGGACGAAGGAGTATACAAAACTAATTTCAAGTGCAAAATGAAGCAGATGTGACAATTAACTATTTGAGGGCAACAAAATGGATTCTAACCGTAATTATGAGATGGGAAAATTTATTGCTGTCTTTATTATTAAGGGTAAAATTGTCATTTAGTTAATTAAACAGTGTGATAATTATGTATTTCTATAACTATATGCCTTTTCTTGTGCACATTGGACTTGTATTTTTGGACGGAGGGAGTACTTGTATTTACCGAAATCTAACTAGTACTTGTTATTTCAGGAAAAACATACAAACAAGATTGTTCAAGATAAGCACAGGGCGTCAACAGAATCATCTCGAGACTCTTTCTCATCGATGTCTCGTTCGTCTTCTTTCTCTTCTTTGGATAATGTTAATCGAACAACTCATCCGGAACCAGACCATCTTGTGTTTCCGGAAACTCCTTCACGGGATTCCGGAATACGCCAATCGTGTGGCTCTCAGATGAGTCGTCAAGGTCTTGACCTTCGAGATGTGGTCAAGGACTCAATGTACCGAGAAGTTCGAGGCTTCTCGCATAAATCTTTAACCAAAGATGAGGCACCCGAGCATTTGGTGAACTATAGAGAGTCAAATGATGCTCATTGGTATTATAACGAACCTATAGAGCTTTCTAGATCAAAATCTTACCAATTTAGAGATGGGTCGTCGTTTTCAGTACCGAAAGATTGCCCTCGGTTTTCTTACGATGGGCGGGAAACGAATCGTTTGTCGTTTCAATCACGAGATAATGCAAAAACAATGACCTCAAAGCAGCTGGAAGAGCTGCCGAGACTTTCTTTAGACAGCAGAGAGAGTTCTACACGTAGTCTCAACTCTTTTTCAAGAAACCCGAAAACTGATAGTGTCATTTCTGTTGACCGAGGTCCGATTCAAGCCCGTCCGCCTAGTGTTGTAGCCAAGTTGATGGGCTTGGAAACTTTGCCCGATTCTGGGTCAGCCAGCCACAAAGAATCAGTTGTCGGCCCAATCAGAACAGGCCCAGCCGAGGATGGTAATTCATTGTCGAAATCTTCCCAAGCAACCGATTTTTTTGGACCAATCAAAATGCAGAATTCTGCAAGAAGCTCACTGAGGGAACCAACATCACCATGCTGGAAGAATTCAGGCATGAAGCCGATTTCTAGATTTCCAATGGAACCAGCACCATGGAAACAACGGGATGGTGCTCGAAGTCCTCAGAAGCCCGGTTCTCGAGGTATGAAATCTCCAACCAAGATTCATAGCCAGTATTCTTCGGTTTACAGTGAAGTTGATAAAAGACTGAAGCATCTTGAATTTACTGAATCCGGGAAGGATCTTAGAGCTCTTAAACGGATATTAGAAGCAATGCAGTCAATGGAAGCCAGGAAGGAAGGTACACATATGGTCAAAAGACATTCAATCACCACTCAAAATGAACGGTTTTTAGGCGGTGGTGGAAGATTGTCGGGAGATCACCAAAACCCACCATCGGTCACTAGGGGATCGAATCATTTGAGGGCTTATGAGTCCCCAATTGTCATCATGAAACCAGCAAAACTTGTGGAAAGATCTGGTATGGGTGGTTCATCGGTAATGCACATTGAAGAATTCCCGATTGATACCAGAAAGATTTTCACAAATAGTAAAACGGAAAGAGACCCGAATCCTAAAAGTGCACGTGGACAAACTGCCGCCAATATCACCGACATGAAATCCGGAGGAAGACATACAAGAACTCCACCAGTTTCAACAAAGCAACAACAGTTTGCCAAAGAAAACACTTCAGGAAAGAGCTTGGGATCTATCAGCCCGAGATTACAATCGAAGCGGCTTGAGTTAGAGCGGAGATCTCGGCCGCCCACACCGCCGCCGGAATCTGGTAAATCCAGAAAACCGCCATCCAAGCAGCTGTCGGAGTTGAGTTCCCCTGGCGGAAGAAGGCGGCCAAAATATTCAAACATTCAGCAAAATGATGATCAATTCCGTGAGGTCGGTAGCGAATCTAAGAAGCTTAGTTACAGAGAAACTCAAGAATTTAACTATGATATGGTCTCAAAGATAGATACAGTGGTCAACTCTCCGGAACTTTCTGAAGAAATTGATAACAGGCAGAGTCCTAGCTCAATACAAGAGGTAGTTTCATGTGCTTTCGTTGCAACAAATTCGGTTTCATAGGACGCCAAATATGTCTAAATGTGCTAATACACTGCTTTATAAGATGACATAATTGTGAATCATATGTAAAAGTCGAGTGCCCTAACAAGTTTTTTAAGAGACTTTTGGAACCAAGTGTCTTATTAGCTTTTTTTATAGGACACTTTTGGGTAGTATCCTATGAACACATTTTTTTATAGAACAATAATAATATCATATAAAAAGATTAATAGGATGCTTTATATCAAAAGTTTCCTAAAAACTTATTAAGATATCCAAAAACATTTTATCAACTTATTGTTAACACTTCTACATATGACGCACAATTCTTTGGTCCTATAAAGCAGCCTGTTAGGACATTTAGGAGTTGTTTGGTTGGTTTTCCGTCAAGTCCTGTATGAATAAAATTGTCTGCGTGAATTATATGTCTGTATAGATTGGGAAGGTTTTTTAATAGATGGAAGGATCGTGCTTTTTAATTGGGAGGGGCAGGTTTGGAAAAAATATAGCTTTATGCATAAAGCTCCTATCTAAAAGTTTACTGAATAAGCCATTTTATATCATTAAGTCACCATCAAACAATCATGTATAGCTGACCGAATAAGTTATGAGTTTCATTAAGCTCATTAAGCTGCTAACAAACAGGTCCTTGGACATATTTGGCTTCCTATAAAACCGATTTTGTTCTAGAGCTCTATATCACATTCATCAACTTTGCAATATCTTATTGTCTATTTATCATTATCTCTAGAAATCAAGTTTGCTGTTGAGGGAGGATGAATCAGTTGATCCGGAATATCCAAGTCCAGTTTCTGTTCTTGATGATGCAGTCTATATGGATGATTCCCCTTCACCTGTGAAACATATGCTGAAGACACTGAAAGGTGAGTTGTTTTCTTCTCATTCTTCTTGGATCTAATGCAAGCTCCCTTCCCACATCATAATATTGAATCCGGTTGAAAATCTTATCTTCCCTGAGTTCGAATCTGGGTGCTGCCAAAGCCCTTGTGGGCCATGGAGGTTCACCCGCGTTGACTCCAGGCCATTCATGGTCGCCCGGGGGATTACTTGGTGTGTGTAAGCCGGCCTTGATAACCACGCCTACCCAAGAAATAAAAATATGGAATCTTTTTTGTTATGATGCAAAGAATAAGTAGTTAACTTTATTTAATAACTTGTTTTCTTGAGACAATAAATGTCCGCGATGAAAAAGACACAATTTTAGAAATATGTAATTCTTACAATTTTAATTAATTAAATGACAATTTTACCTCTAATAATAGGAGTAACAGATTTTTCCATGTTATAACTAAGGGTAGAATTGGAAAGTAGATAATTAATTTTAAAAGTGGAAAGTTATTTTGGGATAAACTAAAATAGAAATTTGGACACTTATTTTGGGAGAGAGGGAGTATAAACTTTATAAGCAATGACATGATGGTGATACTAGTGGAATAGCATGGCAACTTGGGTTTATGTCATGTTGTTTTACACTCTAGATATAGAAACAAAGCTCTTTACGGTATTTACCATTTGTGGTCGCCTGGGGGATTAGTTGGTGCGTGTAAGTTGGCCTGGAAACCCACCGTTACCCAAAAAACCCGTTCATAGTATTTATATCATGCAAGCATGTATTTTTTCAATTTTTGGTGATGTATTTTGGAACATTCATATAAAAACACCTGCTTATGTCTACTTCTGCTTCATATATCATATGCTTTTGATATATATAGAGAGAGTATGTGAGAATGGTATGAGAACTTCTGAGCCTTTGGATGAGTTTTCTTTTTGATGTGACGGCTCATAAAAAATGTGGACGTTCATCTACCTTAATCTGATGGCTCACAAAAAAGACGAGCCTTCATCTATCTTCATCACCTATATCACCACCTTCGGTCATCTTCACGAGCCTTCACATACCTTCAATCATTTTCATATGCATGAATTTGTGAAAGGTTCAATCATGGTGGTACAAATACATAAATGAAGGTAGACGAAGTGTTCTCACCGTTTTCATCAAAAAAATTGTTATGTTATCCAAAACACACACACACACATATATATACATGTATGTTTATGTCATACCATGGTTACATTGTTTATGTGTGTGCATATATATATATATATATCATTTGCCAGAGGTTATGTCCTCTTCCCAGTATAACTAACCCCATTGTGGAATCACAGATGATGCTACTCAAGGCCCCAACGAGAAATTCGTTAAAGATCAATGGGAAGCACAAGACGATGACTCAATATCTTTAAGTGTTACTTCTGAGATTAACCGCAAAAAGCTACAAAACATCGAGCATTTGGTTCAAAAGCTTACACGCCTCAACTCCAGTCACGACGAAGCACACACCGATTACATTGCATCTCTCTGCGAAAACACAAAGCCCGACGACCGCTATATTTCCGAGATCCTCTTAGCTTCCGGGCTCCTTCTTAGAGACCTCGGATCAAGCCTCACAACTTTCCAGTTTCACTCTTCCGGCCATCCAATTAACCCCGAGTTATTTCTTGTTTTGGAACAAACCAAATTCCGCAATCTCCAAAAACAAGATCCTGATACACCTGAAAAGCTGCTCAAAAAGGAAAAATTCCATAGGAAGCTTATTTTTGATACTGTTAACGAGATTCTTGCAGGGAAGTTGGCTTTAGTTGTACCCTCTATCGAGAAATGGTCACGAAAGCCGTTTAAGCTCACCAAGAAGACATTAAATGCGCAAAAGCTTCTGAGGGAATTGTGTTTCGAGATAGAACAGCTGCAAATTGGGAAGAAGAGAGAATCTATCTGTTTGGAGGAGGAAGATGATGGCATGAAAAGCGTTGTGTGGGAAGAAGTATTGAATAGTGAAGAAAGTTGGACGGATTATGATGATGAACTACCGGTTATCGCATTGGAGGTCGAGCGATTGATCTTCAAAGATTTGGTTAATGAAGTTGTTTTGGGGGAGGCTTTTGATGGTAGGCGAATAAAGCCCGGAAGACGATGCAGACAGTTGTTCTCGAAGTAGCGGGTTTTTTACATCGTGTTTCGTGGTTCGGAAATTCCGTTTTCGTGTTCGGCTTTTTGTCTCGGATAGTTTCTCGATCGTTTTATGTGTATGTAAAAGGGTAAGAATCTTATGCTATTTAACTGTAAGTGAAGGGGGGTGTGACTCCCTTTTGTATCAATTTGAAGGCAAATAACATGATTTCACAGTTCAAGTTGTCAAAATGTGATGGTTTTTGAAGAACATTGTGTTCATGATCAATTTGAGTCTATAATCTTTGTGGATAAAATGTGTCCTTAGTTTGCGTAGTCGTACTGATCCTACGGTCATCATTAAAAAGTAAAGGAATGTTTTCCGAGTACGGATAAATTTGAACGCGGGACTCTTGTGAAAATTCCACCCGATGGGCTAACGGGTTAATCGGATGGTACTCGAGTCGGTCCCAACCACCCACAATCTTTAACTGGTTCTCATCTGGACCGATCTCCACGAGAAAATGCCTTAATTGATTGGATGATACTCGGGCCGGTCCCAACCACCAAAAACCTATTCTGCCTATTTATGAGATGAAGAAAAATTATCTCCATTGTTAAAGGGTAAAATTGTCATTTACTTAATTAAAGATTGGAATAATTACATATTTCCAAAATTGTATGTCATTTTTATCGTCGAGAGTTACTTTTGGGACGACGGGAGTATATATTTAATAAAGATTTGGTTTTTGATAGTTTCTTGGATCAAAAACTTCAAATCTGATATCTCGCCTCTCATCATGGGATTCCGTGTTTTAACCTTCTGGACCCGTTTCATTAGACTCTATTGCGATTTGCGAGGCTCATTACTTCAATTGGTGGCGAGAGTCATCAGCGATGGATTGATTTAATCATTCGACGTCAGAAGTTGTTAAAAGGAGGAAAAACAACCGATAGTTGGGTGTAAGAACCTAAATGATCATCACTCATAAAAAAATATCGACATTTAATTAAATTATAATAACCGAATGTGAAAAATGTGTGTGAGTTTATTTATTGTGTATAAATATTATATATATTTTCAAATAAAAGACTAATTATGTCTAAAATCTACGAACATAAATAATCAGGTTACCTTTTAATATCAACCCAACCCAATCCAACCCAACCCAAACCGTATAAACAAGCTAAATCTAAATCATTCTTGCCTTACGAGTGGTCAAGTTTAATTCAGTATTTTCATTCTAAATTAACATTTAGGGCCTGTTTGTTTTTTCAAAATTACTTTTCAATACCTCTGAAGTCTGATTCGTTCAGACATTTGGGTATTAATAACGTTTGTTTTATTTTTAAAACAAGAGCTTAAAAGCTCTAAATGTCATCTGAAATTTTAAGTGATAAATACATCTTAATGCCTCTTAATCATAATTCACCTTCTACCATATGGTTCATATTCTGAGGGCTGGAAGATATATTTGTTAGAAAAAAACTATTCATCTTTTATACTTAAAAAAAACTATTTATTGTTTATATTTTTGCACTAGTTTGACCGATTCAGATTTCAGACTTCAAACGTAAAAACAAACAATCTTATTGATCCAAATTTCAGACTTTAGGACCACCTCTTATAAATCAGAAGTGAAATCAGACTTTAGACTTCAACACCTCTTAAAAAACAAACTCCACCTTAGAATAAATTATGGAAATGTTTTTGTGGGCCAAGGTTTTGTTTGGTTTTTTTTTTCCTACAGGGAGGGGATATTGGGATCTTTATTTAAGAACCTATAAAATTGTGATAACTTGAAAATCGGAGCATCATGTGATATTTTACATGATCTTTTTCATCTAGTGTTTGAATTTAGTGTGTATTGATTAACATATATTTGTTTCACAATGTGCACATTTTTTTATGTGTTTATCAAACAAAAGTTACAACTAAAAAGTTTCACATTGTTAATCAAATATATATGAAACAAAAACACTGTGAAACAAATATTTGTAAATCAATATATTAAATTATAGTTTTGAATAGAAAAAATAATGTAAACGAATAACTTATGATCTTTTTCCTATAATTTATTTATTACAAAAAAACCATGTGGCACGACTTTGGTTTTTTTTTTGATTAACCTGGATATCTAACCCGCTATGCGAGCCAACTAATTCTAGAGCGACCACATGCTTTGCAGATTGCCCGTAGTCACCGCATTTAAACCTCCGTGGCCACAAAAGGATTTTTATTCCTCCTTGGATTTGAACCTGTGACCTCCTAGTACTTTTGACCTTTGGAGCCAAGCTCAAACCAATCAGGCACCACTCTTATGGTTACGACTTTGGATTTTGATCCCTTCTACTAGCGACTGTTAACTTTTAGACATTAAATCCGCTTACCTGATGGCAATATGGTCTTTTTACCCTATAAAATGTAATGTGGCATTAGAAATGAGGGCAACGTAGTAAATAGAACATAAAACAAATTGATGTTCTTGTCGTAATATGACAACTTTGCTTTCATAGCAGATTAAGATAGACAGAGTTCGTAAGAGGGACATAAGACAAATGAAAACTCGTACCAATAGGTTTCTTTTTGCGATAAACGTCTCATAGGGACCAAAATCAAACAAAAGCCTGAACCATAGGGACCATTTGTGTAATTTTCTTAGCATAAGTCCCTCAAAAATATGGTTGTATAAAATCCGAATTATCCGAAATCCGAATCCAAACTCGAACTGAAACTAAGGTATTTATGTAAAATTCAAATGCCCGGAAATCCAAAAACCGACCATGTAAAATTCACTAGCCACAGGAAGTAACTGGTTACCAAGAAATTATCAATAAAGGGACGTAAGTTGGTAATCTTCGCTATTATCGATAGCGACAACTTTGCAATGTCGAACGATTCTGTTGTAATCTTTTAAACCTTTTTGTTTTATTTTTGTCTCCATCAATAGCCCGTTTGGTAATTTGCATAAGTTCGGTTTATTGATAAATTACTGACAACATTATATTAAAATATTATTTATTTTTAAATTAATCTTTTTTCTCATAATGCACGAGTAAAAGTATTTATCAGAACATTAACTTTTTTATGGAATCTGTCGGGAATTGGATGTGGTTTACAGGGTATCGAGGGATTATCGAACGACAATTTTGTTATTAATTATTATTTCTTAATGAACGATAATATGAAAGAGGTCTCTGAGTTCATTTGTCGTATATAATTATTATATTTTTGTTAAAAAAAAGTTTGATTAATGCCTAAAATCTACGAACACAGATAATTAGGTTGCGTTATAATATCAATCCAACACAACCCAAATCGTGCATAGACAAACTAAATCCAAATCATTCCTACCTTAGAGTGGTCCAATTCAACTCAACATTTTCATTCTAAGGGGCTGTTTGGCAATTGCTGAATGGTTTGGTGCAAAATGATTAAGTGGTCAGAATGATTAAGAGGCTATCATGATATAGTGCAAAATGAAATATAATTGTTTGGTAATTGTGTACAATGAAATTAGGGCTCTTAATGGTTAAGGGAGATCCAGTATACCAAATCATTCAGAGGGTTTTAGAACAATTAAGACACAGACTTTTTTTTTGCCAAACAAGATTCACCTCTTAACGATTCAGAGGTTGCCTCTTAATGGAACTATTAAGAGGTAAACAAACAATCCCTAAATTAACATCTAGGGTAAATTAGGAAACGGTTTCTCTGGCCAGGTTTTTTTTTGGTTTTTTCTGTACAGGGAGTCTTTATTTCAACATAAAATTGTGGCCACTATAAGAACCGGTGTAACATGTGCTATTTCACATGATTTTTTTTCATCTACGGCTTGTATATAATATATTTTTTTAGCATATATTTGTTTCATAATGTGTTTGTTTCACAATGTGAATTTTTTTATGTGTTTGTGATAAAAAAAAATTAAAACTAATTAAAGTTTCACATCGTGAATCAAATACATATGAGACAAACATATTGTGAAACATATATATTTTAATGAATACGCTTACGATAATAGTTCTCACAGTTATCACAAAATACGAGGTTCTCAACTGATTAAACCTGTTTTTCTGTAACTCATTTGTTACAAAAAAAACCATGTGGTATGAGTTTTGGTTTGTTGGTCCCTTCTACTAACGATTGTAAACTTTTAGGCATTAAATCTCTTTACACGATGGCAATATGGTCATTTTACCCAAATAAAATGTAACGTGGCATTCGAAATGGAAGGCAATGTAGTGAACAAAACATAAAACAAATTAATGTTTCTGTCGTAATATGACAACTTTGCTTTCATAGTGGATTATGATAGATAGAGTTAAGGGGTTGTTCGGTTCATTTTTTATTAAAACTTGTATGAATAAAGTTGTTTGTATTAATAAAGTTGTCTGTATGATATAAGATAACTTTCTGTTCATGTGTTGTGTTGAATAAACAGTTTAAATGTTATAAATGACTATTTTACTTAGTTTATATTTTTGTGAATAAAAGCTTTTACAATTGGTCATTTTTTTGTTATTTACATTTTACCCCATGAATTAACCGACTAATACGAGCAATACCAAACCCATTACTATGGAGAAATCGATCTTTTTGTTGATCTTTTCCACGCTTGATTTTAGAATTTAGAAGAATAGAAACACCAAACTCATTGATTCCGGAGATGAAGAGTGGAAAGGGCAGATCGTTTTAAGAAAGAGGAGAAAGAGCAACACGATTTGAGAAAGAGAAGATTGATCGATTTCAGAGAAAGAGCAGATCAAGTTTACCGTTTCATCTCCATGTATATACTTGAAGTTTTGGAATGGAAACAGATCCACAACAAATCGAGGGCAGCAGGAAAGAGACGATGATGGTGAGGGCAGTAAGAGGAGGATAGAGCAACAGATCTACGGAGGAGGAGGAGGATGTTGGACGAATGGATTTAGGGAGAAAGGTAGCATACTAGCATGCTTTTCACAAGGGTAGTGAGGGAAAAGGGTGGGCTGAGTATATATGACTCTACTTTGTGGGCTGAGCGAATAAGCTCTTTGCTGGCCATTAAGCCATTTCCGACCACTTATGTGTAGCTTACTGAATAAGCCATACATGTTATACAACTCATTAAGCTGCTACCGAACAACCCCTTAGTGGGAGGGACAGAAGACGAATGAAAACTTAACCTGTATCATAGGTTTATTTTTGTGATAAACAAATTATAAGGACCAAAACCAAACAAAAACCTGAAGTACATGGACCATTAGGGCTGTAAACGAACCGAACGAATGCTTGTTCATGTTCGTTTGTTTAACTTAACCGAACAAACGAACGAACACGAATGGTAAACGAACGAAAATCTTTGTGTTCGTGTTCGTTCGTTTAGAAATAAGGTGTGTTCGTGTTCGTTTATGTTCGTTCATTAACATGTTAAACGAACGTAAACGAACAAACATAAACGAACGGGCTAAACGAACATAAATAAATATTACTTGAATTCAAAGTAAATAAATAAAAGATTGTATATTAAATTTAATATATAAACGAACATAAACGAATGTAAACGAACGGTAAATAAACCATTTATATAATTTACAGCCCTATGAACCATTACATAATTTACTCTGAGTCACCGCTATAAACACTAAAAGACACATAAAATGAAGGCCATTTATATACTTCCATCCATCATTATAACATTAAAAAGATTTTGTTCTTTTATATTTGGAGGTCAAAATGTTGACCTTTATATTTTAAATATTATTATTATATTAATTTTTTATAATTATTATACATATCGATTAATAATTATATTTTGTATTAAGTTTATAATTTATTTATTTT